TTAGAAATATTGTCCTGACTCACAAGCTCTCATTTTCCACACCCACCTGTGTCAACATAGTAGCTTTGGAAGGACCTCAAAGAAGTTGACTTTTTAAAAAATTTCCAACTGTCACTCTCTTAAACAACAAACAAGCTTTCCCATTCAATCTAAGGTAGTGGTTTTTGTTTGTTTGTTTGTTTGTTTTCTTTTGAGATGTGAGGAGGGGAAAGGTGTTCATTTATATTGCCTTGCAGGGGGAGCACCTGGGGGTTGAGTTCTGGGGATACTTGGTTCCAAGAGTCATGAGTTCCCCTTTGAGTACAACCTTTGTTTCTCACTCCTTCCCAGTAGGGGGCTCTCAGGAACACAATTGGTCCATTGAGAATGAAGTGAAATGAAAGAACACAGTATATCTCCCCACCCCCCATGGTGCCTGGAATTGAAACTAGAGCCTCATGCATAGTAGGTAAGCACTCTACCATCAGGCTACATCCCCAACCCAGTAGACAATATATTCTTAATATGAAGTACAGACAATACCTTTTCATATGTTTATTTGGGGATAACACTTATAGATAGGCCTTGGCATCTAAGGACCTCATTTGCATGGACACCCTCTTCCCAAAGGTCATTTCCACTCAATGTGATTGATGCCCATGTCCCTGGAGGATCAGGTAGTATACTGAGTCAATGTCATTGTCAAAGTTAAAATTGCACCTGACTAATAAAACAGTCAGGGAAGACTTTGTTCAAGATTATTGCAATGGGGAGAGGGCCTGAACCAACTCCATTGACCCAAAGGACTGGAGAGGTTGACAGATCAGGAAGAGGAATTTCAGTCCACCTGTGGGTGCTAATTGGTCTTCATGACTCTAAAAGTAAGCACATACCCTTCCTCAGAGACAGAGAGGCAGGGGTGCTCGCTCTCTCCATGTTCATGTTTCAGAAAAATGATTGTCAGGTCCTTCAGAATTTCCTGAGGGACAGGGGGTGTAACTCAGTGTACTTAGCATGCAAAAGGTTCAGCATCCCTCCTCCTGAAAAAAAAAAAGAAAAGAAAAAGAAAGAAAGACATTTCCTGGGTTGTGCAACTGGAAGTAGCTGCATCTATTTCAAGGCACAGAGAAAGAATTTACAATCCCAAGTATTAGAGCAAACCCTCTAAGAAAAAGGAGGTCAGGGACCTAGTCAGGAAGAAACTTGTCTAACATTTAACTAAACTGCAGTGAATGTTGAGGCCATCTTGGCTACTCTCTAAGGCAATTCTTCAAAAATTCACTGCAAAATTCATTCCTGCCACTTGAGAAGGATCTTAAACCCAGTGGTACATAAACTTGGAAATTTCATGTCTTAGTACAGGTACCCTTTCATGAATAGCCCATTGAAATGAGCATATAAGTATTTCCTTTTAATACTCTCATGAAAGGCCATTTTGATTGATCAATAAATATGCAGGAAGCATCTAGTCAATGTCACACACCATATTAATCATGACAAGGATAAAACGTGCCTCCAAAGAGATCTCACAACACTGAAGGAGACAGCTAAATAAATAAACATTTGAGATATAGTTTCTCAAAATATTAAATATAAGACCCAGTTGTCTGGCCAACAGAAATGAAAGCATGTGCCTCCGCAAACTCTTGTACACAAATGTCTACAGCATCATAATTAATGATAGCCAAAAGATGGAAGCAAACCAATGTCCATTGACTGATGATGCATAAACAAAATCCTGCATATCCATATTATTCATGAATATTCAGCAATAAGAAGGAATGAGGGACTGATGCATGGTGCATCAAGGATAAACCCTGAAAACAATCTGCCAGTTGAAAGAAGCCAGACACAAAATGTCACATATTGACTGATTCCATTTAGGTGAAAGGTCTAGAAAAGATAAATCCAGAAACAGATCAGAAATGAGAGGCTACATAAGGCCCTTGGGTAGGGAAAATAATGAGTGACTCTTAGTGGGTCTAAGGCTTCTCTTGGGGGTCAACGAAAGTGTCCTAAGATGATTTTTGTGGTGGAGTCACAACTTTGTGAATATACTAAAAACCATTGAATTACATACTTTTAATGGGTGAATTGTATGGTGTGTGAATTAATCTTAAAAATGCTGTGTAAAAAAGATGTGTATATAAACATATACATATCTATATGTTACATGATGTGAAAAAAAAACATGAGGATACTCATCTATGGGAGTCAAGGGGAAGGAGGTGGAATCAGGAAGACTTCAAAGAAGAGGTGAAAGCTCAGATGAAACTTGAAGGATAAGGGTTCCCAAAGCTCTATCAGAATGGAAGCCCAGAGCAGCAAGGCCCTTCTGAGGACCCACAGACAGTTCAGGGATCCCCAGAATACAGGAGCATGTGGAGGGGCTGGAGGCAGGCAGGGCCTGGGCACTGTGAGGGGTTCATCCTTCCTGCCTGTGAAGCAGTACAGGATTACAGTGATAAGCAAGACCCTGAGGCCAGGCTCCACGGGCTCAATTCCAGTTCTGGACTTACAGAAGCTGCAGGGCCTTGGGCAAGTCACTTTACTTCTCTGTGCCTTAATACCCTCCTCTGTCACATAGATTGATGCACCCAAAGTCCTTGGAATGGTGCAGAGAGGGCTTTGAGCACTGTATGCATGCTTATCATGTGAAACAATCAAAAAACCAATGGATGATTTAAAGCAGCCACCACAGGAGGGTTTTTCAGGAACAATACCCTCCCAGTGACATGGAAGGCAGGAGAGGTTCAGTGTGAATTAGGTGAAAAGTGACTGGGTCTTAGAGAAGACTGTTGCAATTGTCCAAGAGAGACATGATGTCTGTAGAGTGCAGAAACAGCAGGAATGGGAAGGACAGAGAATATTCAAAAAGAGTTAAGAAAGAGAATCAATAGGATGTGATGACTAATAAGCTCAGAACAGTGAGGGGTTGGGAGGTGTGTATTGTGATGGTCCCTGAGTTTCTAATTGGGTAACTGGGTGGACAGATGGTGAGATCATTCACTGAGATGGATGAAACAGAATGAAGAGAAAGCTCAAAGGATGTGTCATTGGACAAATCTACTATGTGGTACCTGTCTTCTGATGCCATATTCAGTATCCTTCTTGTCTTCCCCCAGCCATCAGAATGGTGCCCTGCTTTCAGGTGATATGGTTTGTTATACTTGGGGGGCATCATGTCACGAGAAGGCTGGCTCTGCAGCACACCTGACAATGGAAAGTCAAGTACCAATTATCTAGAAAGTTCTGAAGGAACTGAGAGACTATTGAGACAAGCTCTGGTCAGACCATTACTTGGAACAGATCAGTGTAGCCTGGAGAATCTCAGGTCACCAGCTTAGTTATATAAGAAATGCAAACTTATTTTTCCAGAACTGAGCTTAATTACCTATAAATTTCCAGTCTCCATTCCTTGAATCTGTGAATTCTGGATCTCCTGCCACCTTCTCCTGGCTGACTTTGAGAACACTGCACAGGGTTTGAGATTATTCTCTGAAGCCTTTGTGCATGGTGAACAGGGTAAATACAGTGTTCAATGGGGAGCAGAAACACTTTCGTGGAAACTAGACAGGTTTACTTAAAGCTGATTGGCCAGTGACTAGGGGATCTTGGGCAAAGGAGGTGCTCAATAAATGTGGTTAAAGTGCATGTAACTGAAATAAGGCACAGGTGGATTTAGGATGTCAAGAATGTCACAGGTGTTTCCCACACCCATTTTCTCACCTAGGAATCCCATCAAAAGCATTCTGTCTGTGGCCCTTCCCCCTCCCAGGGACATCTATTCATCTGTTAGATGAGTCCTTGCTGATGTGACCTCGCACAGGTTGCACCCAAAGCCTTTCCCCACTAAGTATAGTCCAGAGAGTGTCCAAGGGGAGCCCACATAGAGCCAGCACTGCCACTGGCCACATTTTTCTCCACTGGAAGTCAACCTGTTTATTTTATTTACTCTGCCTCCATTATTTCTCTGGCACTAACACGTATTTCCTGACCAATGATCAAGTTCATGCAGGATGGTAACATACAGTCTATGGAAAGGGAGCCTCCAATGGGCATGGGCTGGGTTTTGTGTCTAGTGATGGTTGCCATTGAAAAGTTTCTCCACAATGCCCAGGGAATAATTCTTCAGCAGGTAACAAAGTACTGATGAAGGTCATAATAAATGGCAATGGCAGGAACAAGCCATCATAGGCACTGGGCTCTGATGCCCCACAGAGCTCTGATTTCCTCATTGATCCCATTTCTAGGGACCAGTTCCTTCCCACATGGTCGTGGTGAGTGTGGTTTGTGTGGTTCTGAAGAAGTGTACCTAAAAGTGGTTCTTTTCAATTGCTGTACCCCTCCTTCTCTGCAGGGGAAGCTTGACCAACTCTCTTCCTCTATGTCTCCAAGGGGCTCTAGGACTCCCAAGGCTAGGGTTCCATGCTTTGCTTGGCAGCAATCGCCAGCTGGGGACAATGTGTCAAGGGAGGGAGTTGTCTGTTGTTACCAGAATGACTCACATGTCTGTGTGTTACCTGGATGGCTGTTCTGGACACCCTGGTCCCACCTTGCCTGGCATTTGAATAAGGATTTCCCAGTGCTACCCTCTTCCTCCCTGCTCTTGTATGCTCAGGACTTGGAGTCTAGGGTCCCAACCTTCCTGAAGCAGATGCCAGGAGTTCTTTGAAACATGCCCTTGGTCTCTGGAGTCCTGACTCTTAGGCTGAGCCTTCTCAATAGCAACTCTTTGGGATGTTGGACAGGCCACTTCAAAACTGTCCCATCCAGGGCCCCTGACTACAAACTTTGCTTCTGTAGAGGTTTGCCAGGTGCCAAAACCATCTCTGGTGCTCTAGTCAAGAACAGCCAATGGAAACTGCAGCCAGGACCCCTCCCACCCTCCCCCAGTGGCCTCCTGGCCTCCTGCCTCTCTCTTACTTCCCCCTTGCCTGTCCTGCCTGACTCAGTGAGAACCAGGTGGAAGTCAGCATCAGCAGCATTAGGAGCTGCAAAGAGACTCAGCTTCTACAAAGATGACTTGGCGACAAGTCCTTCTCCTGTTCTGCCTCTTGGCCGTGGTGCTCCTGTCTAGTGAGTATATGGGAGGGTTAAGGGGGACTGTGTTATCTACATAATAGGTAAGACTTACCTTCCACAGGTAAGTGCTGTCAGCTGGCACAGAGAGGCCATTCTTGGTGTGTGTGTGTGTGTGTTTGTGTGTGTGTGTGTGTGTGTGTGTGTGTGAGAGAGAGAGAGAGAGAGAGAGAGAGAGAGAGAGAGAAGAGAGAGAAATATAGCAAAGAAAGAAAAAAACCAGAAAACACTGTAGTTTGCCTCATGGGTTCCTAGGGAGATTGGCCCCATACCTGGCATGTGATGGACAGAGGACCCCACATGAGGCCTGGAAAGCCACTAAGCCTAGAAGGACTATTGAGGCCTTGCTCGGGGCCTGGGCTCCTCTCCAATGCTGGAGCCTTTCCTCTGTGATCTTGTCCTCCAGTGCTGCGGGAGGGGACCAGTGCATCAGTGGGCAGCCCTCAGGAAGCGGGAGATGAAGCCCAGGAAGGTGAGTCTGGGGACAACCCTTGGGTGCAGGGCAGGTGGAGCCCACTACCCCAACATCCCTGCCCCCAGTGCTGGTTGTGACAGGCCTTTCTTGGGTTTCAGGTGTGAAACCGAAGATTTTCATGCAGGAATCAGATGCCTCAAATTTCCTCAAGAGGCGCAGCAAGCGGTCCCCCAAATCCCGAGATGAGGTCAATGGTAAGGATGCTGAGTGGTCTCTTACCACAACAGGGGATTAAGGGTTGCAGCAAAGCCCTTGAACATCAGGATGACTGTAGCTCTGAAGTGGAAATTATACTGTTTCCTTGATGGTGGGTCACATGTTGGGGCAAATGCATTGCTAGGGTGAGGACCAAAAAGGAACAGTGATGCATCAAATGTATCTAACAATTATGAGATGCATCCCTGCTTCAGAAAGTGAAAAATGTAAAGGAGGAAATGTTCTCTGGTCTAGAAAGCACCTAGCACTTTAGTGGGTGTTTTGGAGTATTGGCAAGGTGCACAGTAGAGCAACAGAATCACATGCAGGAAAAGATCCCAGGGAACAGGAGTGCTGAGAAATGTGGGCTTAGTGACAGCTCTGTTGCTAAGTGGCCTCAGCCACTTCCTGTCTGTGGTCCTAATTCCCTTACTTATAAGCCTCTGAACAAACTGTGTTTAGCCAGCTGTGCTTTCTTGAAACTTTATTTGCAGTGCAGTTGGTGAGCACGTCTCCCTAACAGCCTGGGGCCTGGGGTCCACACTGCAGGGCCCTCATGTTCTTAACTTATGGCCCTTGAACGCATTTGAGTTTCCTACCTCTAAACTTGATTCTTCTTAGACTCTGAGCTCAGGCTGTCCTGGCCAAGTTGACTGCTTGATTCTTTCCTTGTGTGTGTAGATGAATGAACTCTTTGTATCCCTGAGCATATGCAGTGAGGTGACTTTCTCAGTGAAAATAACAGAATTATTTTCAAATGATGGGGAAGATCAGAGGTGGAAATGCTTGGAGATGGGAATTTTTTTTAATTGGATAAGTGTAGTCAAATTAGTGAAATCTCTAGACCTCACACAATTTGGGATTTAAATTTGGCAAAATCAAAAAACACTGAAAGGCTATGATAGATGTTGGGCTATTCTTGTCTGAAATCAGAGAAGCAGCTTTCTGCAAATTTCTAGGGGAAAACACATAACTTTAAGACAGACAAATATATCTGTCCTCTGAAGCTGACTCAGAACCATAAGATCCATGATTAGGCTGAGTTCCCTGACCTTAGGCAGGAGCTCAGTGCCTCAGGCAGTTGTGGGAGGCCCAGGACAGCCAGGTGAACCCCAGGACTGCACGTAAATGCATCTGAGGATACCTCATCGATTCCTATAGATGAATGGGCAGAGCTGACAGAGATTCAGAGGCCCAGGCAGCAAGGTCGCAAGTTCTACACCAGCCTGGATGAATTAGCGACACCCTTTCTGAAAATAAAGACTAAAAGGACTGGTGATGCAGCTCAGTGGTAGAGGATTCCTCAGTACCAAAAAAAAAAAAAAAAAGGAAAGGAAAGAAAATGAAAAATAAATAGATAAATAAATAAACTTCTGGAGAATCTTTCCAGTGGTCCTTAAGTTGGGAACAAGGAAGGTGGTATTTTGAAGCAATTTGTATTGGAAGCCAAGGAGATGGATAAGTGACTTCTTTAAGTTTCTGAGATCCAGGCTCAATTTACTTTAGGGTGAAAGAGAATCTGAGGGATGCATGTTCTTGGCAGAAATGCATGTAATGCAGAAGGTGATGCCTAGCATAGAAACACTGTCTTAACTGGGCCTGGTGACATAGCCTGCAATCCCTGCCACTCTGGAAGCTGAAGTAGGAGGATTACAAGTTCCAGGCCAGCCTGGGCAATTTAGGGAGATCCTGTTTCAAAATAAAATGAAAAGGGTAGGGATGTAGCTCAGTGGTAGAGCCCTTGCCTAGCATTGTGCCAATCCCTAGTACCTAAAAACAAACAATCAAGAGTTAAATTTTTCTTCTTTGTTGCTACATCTAACACCCCAATGGAGGTGCAGGACTATAATCCTAGTGCTCATGAGACTGAGACGGAAGACTCGGTTGAGTCCAGGAGTTCGGAATCATCATGTCCACCATGCAGCCTGCACAATGGTTTCATTAATGAGGTTCTTGGCATAAAAGTTAGCTAGAAGAGATCGAAATAAAACACACAGACTCAGTTACCTTATTTCTATTGCCAGGTCCAAGATGGCTCCCCTCTCTGGCTCCAACCTCTAACCGCCCAGCAGGGCAGCAAGGATTACTCAGGGCTAGCAGGAGAGAGAGAGAGTGAACACGCCAGGGAGTAGCCTTTTATTGGGGAACAAGAAATTCAGGGGATAATTCCATCCAATGAAGGTTGAGGGGGGACTGCACTCCAAGGTCAGGGTCAGTGATTGGGCCCCCGGGGTCAGTGGTCAGTCACACCCCCACACGGACGGGTTCTCTCATCAGGAGAGGGCCGGGAAAATTCCGACACAGCCAGAAGCCTCAGACCCAAACCGGGAGTCGCCCAGTCACGTGTCAGGATGGCTTCCCACAATCATGGACAATACAGTGAGACTCTGTCTCAGAAAAGGGAAGGGGAGGAGGGGGGGGAGGGGGGGGGGGAGGAGGAGGAGGAGGAGGAGGAGGAGGAGTAAACGTCCAGTTTTTGGCACCTCTGAAAATGCAACTTGAGGAACCAAAGAACTAGGGGGTACTCTGGGCAAGTACTAGGAATCTGGTGTTCTAGGTCTAGCCTCAGCTCCACCCCAACAGGCTGTGTAGCTGTGTGACTTCAATGATGTCAATGCACTTCTCTGAGCCTGGATCCCCTCTTGAGAAATATGTGCTGTATGAAGATGGATTGGATCACAAACCCCTTATGCCAGACTAAGGTTTCCTTCAACTGTATAGGCAAAAAGGCAGGAATCTGGGAGAAACAGAAGACTTACCTCAGGGATTCTAAGACCAATTTACAGATATAGTGATTTTTAATCTGAGTTAAATATTATAATTTCAACATAAATAACTCATATTTATAGAATTTACTGATCAATGTAGGCTCCTTGGATTTGAGGTGGTTTCTGATGTTACCATTGTGCATAGGAGTACTTGTCATTTCCTGAATGTGGGGTGGGGCAGGGGCCATGGCTTCCCTTGGTTCCTCTGCTTCCTTCGCCTCCCCCACCTGCTCTTGCACATCAGAGTTATGGGGACAACAAGAGCGCCTCAGTCCCCCAGGAGAATGTGAGGTTTCTGAGGGGCCTGTTCTTCCTCCAGCAGACATGACCTGCAAGTCTTTGTTGATTTTTCTAGTTGAAGAATGTGCCAGAAGTCCTTGAAAGTAGAGTTCTAGATACTGTCCTCCCAATAAGTCATGTTCTCTAGAGGACCACGGCTCTCATAGAGTTTAATTTCACAGCCAAAAGCTCAGTGAAACTTGTTGGTTTTTTTTTTCTTGGTGCTGGGAATTAAAATCAGGGCTTTATGCACACTGGAAAGCACTCTGCACTGAGCAACACTCCCAGCCCCTGAAACTTGCTTTGAGGGCTCTCTCCTCACCTGGATGACAGGCATCTTAAGTGAAGGACAGCATCTTTCTTACTTACCTTTGTAATTCCAGCATTCAGTCTATATCCTGGTGTGACAGGTGCTCAAAAATGTTGACTAGACTTGAAGGTATTAATCAATATGACATCAACTTTAAATCGGATAAGTCCATTGTGAAGTTTGTTTGTTTATCTATTTATTTTTCATTTTCTTTTCTCCTCTTTCATTTTTTTCTTTTCTTTCTTTTTTTTTTTTTTTTTAATATACTGAGGAGTCCTCTACCACTAAGCTGTATCACCAGTCCTTTTTAGTTTTTATTTTGAGACTGTTAGGTGAAGGGCAGGCTGAACTAAGTTGTCCGCAGGACAGGCTGAACAAATGTTAGCTGCAGGATAACCAATGCACTCAACCCCACATCTAGCCCCTGAAGGCAGATGACACTACCGTATGATCCAATCACCCTATGCCAACAAGGCAGCTTGCAGATCCAGAGACCCCATTAGATTTGGGCTATGAAAACACTCCCTCCTGTTGGGCCCCTGTCTCTTGCTCTCTCTGTCTCCTTCTCTTGCTCTTGATCTCTCTTCTCTTGCTTTCGCTCTCCGTCTCACTGTCTCCTCTCCTCTTCTCTCTTTGCTCTTCCCCCTCTTTCTTCTCTCTTTCCCTACTCTTTCTTTCTCTTTTTCTCCTCCTTTGCACTGCTGCAATAAAGATCTCTTGGTTGCTTCAAGTGTTGTGGTCATTTTCCTTTCAGAGACAGGGTCTCACTAAGTCATCCAGGCTGGTGTAGAACTTGCGATCTTACAGCCTGGGCCTCTGGATCTCTGGGATGACAGATGTGGGTCACCGTACCCTGCTTGTGGAGTTTATCTCTTATTTCAAATGTCTAAGTGGCCTGGTGTACTTGGATTATACCACTAACTTGATGACTGGGGCTAACTCACTTTTTCCTCTTGGGGGTTCAATCTCTTCACCTGCAAAATGAGGTGATTTGGCCTGGCATGGTGTGCACATCTGTAATCTCAGTGACTTGGGAGGCTGAGGCTGGAAGATGGCAAATTTGAGGACAGCGTGGGCAACTTAGTGAGACTCTGTCTCAAAAACCAAAAACCAGAAAACAAAACAAAACAAAAAAAAGGTGGGGCTGGGGATGGAGCTCAGTAGTAGAGTGCTCCTGGGTTCAATCTCTAGTACTGTTCAAAGAGAGGGGATATGGCAGGGGGTGGGGGGTAACTGGGTAGGATCATCTCCCACGTCCTTCCAGTTTAAAGCCTCTGTCAGGAATAAACCATTTCAGTGGAGTCTCCCAACCTAAATACCTCCCAAACCACTTTTAGCTTCTCAGGTAAAATGTTGGCGTTCCCCTAAATGTGAGCCCTCAATGCCCCTCTCTTGGGGGCAACTACCACTTTTCCTTCCACAGTGAAAAACAGGCAGAAGTTGCGGGCCGATGAGCTGCGGAGAGAATATTACGAGGAACAAAGGAACAAATTTGAGAACTTTGTGGAGGAACAGAAGGATGGTAAGAGTTCTTGCTCATCTGCCATTTATGCCCTGTTTTCTGAGTCTTGACCTTTCATCTCTTGTCAATAGATAAATAGTAGAAAAGGCAAGAGGGCAAGTGACTCTAACCAAGCAATTAATGTACCATGCCCCTGCCCTCAGGGCTCCTTTCTTCCCTCCAGCCTTGCTGGCTGCACCAGGGCTTCAGTAGGGAGTGGGTATGGATGAGATAGAGGAAGACTATGTCTCTAAGCCAATGCCTTCCACCAGTGGGATTTGACCTTGCTGTCTAGTGTCATCCACAGCAGACATCTGTAGCAACATTTAATGAGGATCAAACCAGTAGGCCTGATTCTCATTATGTGCTGGTTTCTTTCTTTTTTGGTCTTTCTCAAACTTCAAGATAGAAATGGTCCTGAGCAAGCTCACTTGGTACCTCCTGGTGCATATGAGCTTGGACACAGGACCCTGGTTTGGGGTACTTTTGTTAGAGCCAGCTCTTTTGTTTTATCCTGACTCCTTGACTTTGATGGACAGAGGAAGTATGATCCTTTAAGGGCATCCTCCAGTGGAAAGACTACTGCCACCAGGACCCAAGGGCTACAGGCTGTGCTTATAGCCCTTCAGGTGGCATCTGGTTTAGCCCCACAAGCAGGTGTTGGGCTCAGATCCTAGCAAATCAAACTTTAATTTTTTTTTTAGTTGTTGATAGACTTTTATTTTTAAAAAATTTATTTATATGCAGTGCTGAACCCAGTGACTCACACATGCCAGGCAAGTGCACTACCACTGAGCTCCAGCCCCAGCCCCCAAATCAAACTTTTTTGGGGAAGATACTGTGAAAAACTCAGGCTGTCCTAGCTTAGAGGCCAATGTTTGTTACCTTGGTGGACAGCTTGGGGAGAGCTGTCTTAGTTTTAAGAAATGAAGATATGATTTTTAGTCATACTACTCATCATAATTTTTTTTGGGGGGTGTATATTTGTGTGTGTGATTTTTTAAAAAGTTTCAGGTCCAAATCTCTAGCACATGTGTGGAAATAATTTGCTGTTTTCTTTTTCATGATGAATTATGAAGGAGATTAGGTACCTATAGGATGATGTGTCTTTTTGGAGGATGCTAAGATCAGGGTCCTCAGGCTTCATCCCCAGAGATGGAGAGGCCATTTTTAGAAGAGGCCACAGGTCTTTGGGAATTGAAGTTATAGAAGCTGTTGGGGCAGAACACTTGTTCTGCCAGGTACTGTGCTGAACCATCTAACCACTACAAGCTTCATCTGAGACAGGACTTGTGAGTTTCATTTTAGAATTTGGAAAACAGGCTTAGAAAGGACACATGAATCCCCAAGGTGACATACTAACAGGCTAACTAACGTAACAGGAGCAGGTCTAGCCTGTTTGAGGATAAAGGTCTGAAAAAGGCGGAACTCTTCTCAAAATTTCTTTCTTTTCCAGAACAACTGTTGCTATGTCCTGGTTGCTGGGGCCATGTTCAAAATCTCCATCTTTTGGGACCATCTATGAGGCCCGTGACATTCCCCTTTCATAACCCTGGCTTTAGTTAGCTGTGTTATCTGACAAAGCCATGTGTTCTAAGAATAATTAATAGTAGTTGAATGTTCAAACCTTTTCAAGGTATTTACTTCATAAAAGGGATAGCCAATCAATTTCTATGGCAAAATCACACTCTCAAAGAGGAGTTGGTCCACTGAGCTTGAGCAATGTCTGAAAGGGCTTAAGGCTAATGAATGAGTTCTAGTCCAGGAGTTCCAGTCTATCTTTGGGGTACCAAGTACCTAAGGATATTTTTCAAGGGGAGCACCATCTCCAGGGTCCCATGAAAGGACCATGGTGCCTCAATGTGCAGTGGTAACAGGGCCCTTCCTCCTTGGTCCAGGCATATGGCTCTCACAGGTGCTAAGGAGCAGAGGGACATCCATTTTGTCCATACCACCAGTTTGTCCTATTAGCCCAAGGCCATAGAGAATGCCACTTTCATTAGCACCAGAATCAAGTTCATAAACTTTTTGGAGAAGTTCACATTTGAGACAATAGAGGCAAGGAAGACATTTAAAATTTTTAAACCTCGACATCATCTTCTGTCAGTATTTCCATCCTCCCAATATTTTTCACAAATTCTTTTCTTAAAAACAAAAACAAAACAAACAACTAGCATGGTGGCACATGTCTATAATCCCAGTGGCTTCAGAGGCTGAGGCAGGAGGATCACATGTTCAAAGCTAGCCTCAGCAATTTAGCAAGGCCCTGTCTCAAAGGAAATGTAAAAAAGGATGGGGATGTGGCTCAGTGGTTAAATGCCCTGGGTTCAATCCCCAGTACTGAAAACAAACAAACAAAAAACCCAAAACAACCTTGTGGTAAAATAGACATAAGGGAAAATTTGCCATTTAAACCATTGCTGAGTATACAGGTTCATGACACTTAGTACATTCATACTATTATGCAACTATTACCACTAGTTCCAAATGGTTTCATTATCCCAAACAGGAACTCTGTACCCATTAAATAATAACTGTCCTTTCTTCCTTCCCCCTAATCTTGGTAACCTCCATTATATTTTTTGTATCCATGAATTTTCCTGTTCTAGATATTTCATATAAATGGAGGACACAGTACTTTGTCTCATTATACATGTTCTATTTCATTTAGCACAATGTTTTCAAAGTTTATCCATGTTGTGACATGTATCCATTCATTTCTTTTTATAGCTGAATAATTTCTCTTATGCATATTTACATACGTATTTGTTTATATATCCCCATAAATAACATATTTTGTTTATCCATTCATCTGTGGGTGGACATTTGGGTCATTTCCACTTTTGAGTGACTGTAAATGTTGTTGCTGTGAGCATTCCTATATGTACAGGTATCTGAGTCTCTGTTTTCAATTCTCTTGAGTATAAGTCTAGGAATAGAATTGCTGGATAATGTGGTAATTTTATTAACTTTTGGAGGAGTCTCACTCACCTTTTTCAAATATTGGAGGTCTTATGATATCTGCCAGTGCCTTAAATGCAATTAACGGTAGCAGGCATCTTGAATTGGCACCAGGAGCCTAATTCTACAATTACACAAAGATGTTGTTTGGAAACATATCTGACCAAACACAAGTAAAATTACAGCTTTCTTAACTCATTAAAAACTTTCTTCGTCCCTTTTCAGCCTTTTACTATGAAATACTTAAAACATATGGAAAAGGATCAGGTTAATGAGCCCCATAGAGCCAGTTATCTAAGTTTTCCCACTTTTAGTTCATCCATCCTTTTTCCAGTTAGTTTTAAAATGGAAATTTATCTTTGAAGCTTAGAAAATACAGAATGGTATAGAGGAGAAAAGCTGTAATAATTCTGTCATTCCAGATCCACAATAATTTCCATCCAGGAGCTTTTCAAGGCACAGTGCTTGGTCTCTGTGTTACCACATTGTTACTTTTAGTGCTTCAGTTGTCATCTCTTTGAGCCAGTGACTGCATAGGCTATTCCCCACATAGGCAAAGAGTTCAGATGCCAGACACTGGTCTCAGTTCTACCAGCAGCCAGCTGTGTGGCTCTGATCCACAAATGGAGGCCGCTGGACTCACATTCTCAGGTCCCTTCCAGCTCTGATCTCAGATGTCTCCAGGGCTCATAGGCACACTTGACTCATGTCACCTCAGGGTGGGACATGTGGGCTGATGGCTGCTTGTTTTCAGGTCAGAGTCCCCTTCATCCTCATGTGACTTCATCTTTCCTCTCCAGAGCAGGAAGAGAGGAGCCGGGAGGCCGTGGAGCAGTGGCGGCAGTGGCATTATGATGGGCTGTACCCTTCCTATCTCTACAACCACCACCGCATCTGACCCCATCCTGAAGCAACCCAGGAAGACAGAGCATGAAACATAGCTGCTCACCTGGGTGTACCAGCACCTCTTTCCACACAAATGCCCTAATAGGGACCTCAGCTTAGGGTGCGCTGTGGTCAACAACCCTGGTAAATACACATGCCTTTCATTCTGATGCATTAAATGTCCTGGCTTTTGCTTTTTTGTGGATGATTTTTCCAAGGTGAGCAACCACCTGTGGCTCATCCTAATCCCTAATCTTCATTGGTTTCCCCTCACTTAGTCATTGTCCCCAAAGCAGATCTCCTGTCTGATTGGACAGGAGAATCACAGTTAAGAGAGAAATTTTGTGTTTGCTTATAGCTTACAAATAAAAACTCTGACTTAACCATATGTATTATCATCTCAAATCTCCAGTTGAGCAAGGTATAGACTTGATCCCTGCTCCCCCCAGTGACAAGGTTAATGTTGCTGACTTGGTTGTTAGAAAGCTTCTCCTTGGGAGTATCAATCACTCCTCTATTATGTCTCAGTAGTTAGTCATGTAAGTGAAAAAAATACTAATACATTTGTTTTGGTAAAAGCCTTCAAAGGATTGCTGAGTCCAGGGACTTCCTTCTTCATCCCACCAAAGAGGGTTAAGGTTCATTCCTGATTTCTTAATTGCACCCTTCAGAAGCCATAGTTACAGTAATGCCAGTTATATAAACAAAATGAGAAACCCTTGGTTGGCATCATCTCACTTTTCTTCATAGTGTCTTATATTTGTTTCCCTCTGCTGCCATTAACAGAGTACCACAAACTAGGTGACTTGAATCAATGGAAATTTATTCTCTCACAGTTCTGGAGCTGAAAAGTCTGGAACCTTGGTGTTGGCAGGGCCACGTTCCCTCCAGAGCTCTAGGGGTATCCTTCCTTGCTCTTCCTGCATCTGAGGGCACCAGGCATTCCTTGGCATATGGTGGCATGATGCCACCCCACCTCAGCATCATATGGCTGCCTCCCTGTGTGCTTTCACATCACCATCCCTCTCATGTATGTCTCATGTCTCTTCTTCTAAGGACACCATTCACATTGAATCAAGGCCTCACTCTACTAACTTTGTCCTAGCTTGATTAGGACCTAAAAACCTTATTTCCAAATAAGATCCCATTCACACAGACTGGAGGTTAGGACTTCAATGTATCTTTTGAGGGGCACACAATTCTATCCCTTCCTTTCCTCTCAACCACTTTGCTTTCTGGTCCCAGGCTCATCACCCCTATTCCCAATGTTGCTCCCCACTGACATCCAGAAATTGCACACTAAGAATGGCAAGGAGTCAAAACAACTTAATTGGGCTCTGGAAGATAAAGAGGACTCTAGGTAAAGAATAAGCACCCACTCTTCCCCAGATTCCCATCTCACCTGTGGGCCCTTGCTTCCCTCATGCCTGGGGTACCTGGTCAGCTAGCCCCCACCTGCTTTTTGAGGTTGGGCTTCCAGGGCAATATAGGGTGATTTTATATAAGGGTTGCTGTGAGGAAATTTTACCTTCATGGTGGCAAAATATTCCACCAGAGCTAGGGTGATCTATCAGGTTAGGAGACTTTGTAACAAATGCATGTATTTTTAAGTTAGTTTTTTAAAAAAGCCTATAAAGTCTTTTAAAAAGCTCCAATTATTAAGTGATTATGTGCCAGATTACCTCATATTTAACAATCAGTGCTATTATTTTCTTCCCACAAACTCCAAGCAAGAGCTAACATGACCTTGGGAAGATGAGGTGGGCAGTGGACAAACTCTCATACTAAATATAGTTTTATCGTTTTTCAGTGCTGGGGACTGAATCTTGGGCCTTGGTCATGCTAAACACATGCTCCGTCACTGAGCTGTACCCCCAGTCCTATCATTAAATGCTGTTTGTTGTGCAGAAAGATAGAAGGAACTCTAGGGTTCACAATTTGGAAACTAGAGCTTGAGGACAAGTCAAGTCTCAGCATAAGAAAGGGCAAATGGCACTGTTTTTAGTGGCATAACTAAGGAGAATATTTTGAGTTAGTCTTCTTTACCTGTGGCCCAGGTGTACCTTCCAGATACTTCTCTGTTGGATAACAGGTGCTCAGGAATTATCTGTGCTCCTGTTTTCCCTCTAAGGTCTATTTGATATTTATACCATTAGTGGCGGTACTGGGGGGTGAATCTTTGCTCCCTCCACATGTCATTGAACAGGCTAGACTTTGTTCACCCATTTCTTCATTGGTAAGATAGATGAAATGTGAGTTGCAACTTTTATGCATTTCAAACTGGCTGCATCAAACTTCCCTGTGAAGAGATTAGGTGCTTACTATCACTGGGACATCTTTGCTAGTCTTTTTATAAAGCAAGTAAATTGAGAATATTTGCAGAAAAATTCATGGTTGGGGGCCCTTGAATTATTAACTATTTATGGATCCCCTTGGACCACTGCTGTTAGATTTAATCAAGTCAGACCTAAACAGGTGACTAGCGCTCACTCCTCTGCATGATCTGTGTATTTCTACCCTAACACCTTTGGACCTGGTGCAACAGAAAGTTTGTTTAGGAACTATAGTTGCTATAGTTTGGAGTTGGAAAGTCCTCGAAAAGCCCATGTGGTAAAGGACATGTCCTCAGCTTGGTGCTATTGGAAGATGGTGGAAACTCTAAGAGGTGAGGCCTAGTGGGAGATCTTCAGTTGTGAATGTGTCCTTGAAGGGGATTGTGGGATCCTAGTCCCTTCCTCTTCCTTTCACTTTCCAGCTACAATGTAGGCAGTTTTGCTCTATTGCATGTCTGCCATGGTGTGCTCCTTGCCCAAAACAATGGGGCCAATCAGTCATGGACTGAAACATGACTGTGAGCCAACATAACCTTTTTCTCCTTATAAGTTGCTTATCTCAGGTATTTGTTATAGAGATGGGAAACTGACTGACACCTCATTTCTCTCCACCCTCCCGGAGAGTGTCATTCTGGAAGAAACTGATATAAAATAAAAACTTGGAAATGCCTCAGCTTTTCATTGCTATTTTTACTCTGTTACCTGGTGAGACTGATATTACTTGGGAGGGACAAGGATTTCAATGTTTTGAAGCATAAATCTCAACAGGAAGGAGCTCTGCTGCTTGCCTTCCATTGCCCCAGTCTCTGATTCAAACTAGAGAGAGCAATCAGTTTGAGTACAACCAAGATGAGAGATGCTCCTCCCTGAACTACTGGTCAAGAGCCACACACATGAATCTCATTTGCTTCCTATCCCAGCCCCTAAAATGAGACAGAACTGGAGCATTAGCAAGTTAGTGAGATACACTCCCAGCTCAAGGATATTCTAGGTCTGTTCTTTTGGGGCTGGAGCTCCTCAGCACTTAATCCATATCTAGATTAGAAATTCTAAAGCAGCATGTGCCTATTCTAGATTGGCTATCAAGTGAAGTGGGCGAGGGTGAGTCCTCAGCTGGGTTGACATGTGAGCACTGGTGTGGGTTTAGCTCAGGTGATCTCAGATTCTAAGTCTGAACTGCAGATTTTCTGGCCAGTGGTACAAGCAAGGATGAACTCTGGCCACATGCAGTTGCCCTTGTGGCTATTCAGGAGTGTGATGGGCCTTGAGGATCCTACACCCGTAAGGCTGGTATTCTAGGACAACAAGGTGCTTTTTAAATAAATTATAGTCATTCCTTGAAATCTGAGAGCAATCAGTTCTAGGACCCTCCTGGATACCAAAATCTACAGATGTATTCAAGTCCCTTAGGTATATGGCATGAATTTACATGTAACTTGCACATATCCTCTGGTATACTTTGAATCATCTCTAGGATTATTAAAATATCAAACACAATGTAAATGCCAAGTCAAAACCTCTATTGTATTGTTTGGGGAATAATTACTATATAGACACAATTTTTTGGTCTGAAGTTTGCTCAATCTGTGAATACAGAATCTGTGCATACAGTAGGCCAACAGTATTTTTATTACTGTACAATAAAAAAAAAAAAAAAAAAAGCAAAGGACTGTTCTCACTTCAGCTGCAAATCAAAAGGAGCCACAATCTGGTTCATATTAGTCAGGATAAAACAGCCTATGCCTTCTGGTGAGCCACTTGCCTCTCCCTTGTGCTAGTAAGCAGGTGGATGGCAGCAAATAGATTCTGACTCAGGGCCACACCACACAGCCACCTGCCTGTTGTGCCTGTAGGAAGGAATGTTGGGGCCATACAGATGTCAAAACCAGAATGGTTTGGAGGAGAGATTGTTTAAAACAGAACAAAGTAAGTTTGTACTTGCCTCTTCAATGACCAAGCTTGGCAGGTTGTCTCTAAATAAAGAATTCTAGCAGAAAGGGGCTAAATAAGAATTTGATTACTCGCTTGCTCCCATCCCTAACAAGGCCTCTATTATACTTCAGGGTTTTCAAATTTGGCCCAGAATTCCTTAGCTAAAATCCAAGCAAAGTCATTTCCTTGACTGGGAGAAGGATGCCAAAGGTAACATGACCAGGAATTTGAGCAGCCACATTTAATAGGAAATTAATGACAGAAAAATTTGTATTTTTGGACACTGACCTTGTCCAAAGTGTGGCCTTTGGACATTCTTTTGCTTATTCTTCTGTTCTTTTACTACTATCCTGTTGTTCTTAAGGGCTTCCAGGTAAGTGGTTGAAAACAAATTTGTTAAAGATTAAATTTGTTAATTTTTTATCACCAGTTTTACAGAGTGCCCCCCCTGACCAACCAAATAATACTCTGTAGCTCAGTAAAGTGCGTGCTTAGCATTCTGGAGGACTTGGGTTTGATTCCCAGAACTAAAAACAAACAAATTTTGCGTGTGTGTTTGCGTGTGTGTGTCTGCATGCATTCCAGGGGAAATTTTGCAACTTCTTATCATCTGCCTTTATTTAGTTAAGGTTTTTTGAAAAGAGATGATTATTTTTGTGAGTTCCAGAGTCATTTTTAGTTTTTGAAGTCTTGTTAGGAGAAAGTTTCATTTCTAATTTATTTTCAATGATATTCTAATGCTCTCACAAGTTTTCTATAATTTAGAAGTTCTGTTTCAAGCTTGTAAAAGATTTGTCTAAAAGCAAATGGGTTGAATATTAATGTTCTAGTTCACAGTTGATAACTTTGGCATATTCTGTGATCCTATAACATATCAAGACTTAAAAAAAAA